TCATCCTCCTGCCCCCCACATTCTGCTGTCCACTCCTGCTTCCCCACATCCTTCTGCATCCCTGTTTCCCCACATCCTCCTGCCCCTCCACATCTCCCTGCCTACCTATTCCTACATCCTCCTGCCCCCCACATCCTCCTGTCCACCCCCGCTTCCCCACATCCTCCTGCCCCCAACATCCTCCTGTCCACCCCTGCTTCTCCACATCCTCCTGTCCACCCCCACTTCCCCACATCTGCCTAACCACCCCCACATCCCCACATCCTCCTGTCCCCCAATCCCCCCCTACCCGCTGCCGTAGTACGACTGACAGAAGGCTGCTGTAGTCCCCTTACTAAAGGGGCCTCTGACTTTTTCTGGGAGGGTCCTGTGTGCTGCAATCTAGCCCTAGAGAGTACAGCTCCCCTGAGCCCTTGAGGAAACTAGGAAGAGAGGGCTGGTCTGAGCTTGTCCAGGCATGTTGAGAGAAGGGCTCAGCGGTCTGGGATTCTCCATTTTGGGGAGACGGGAGCCAGGCAGCTGTGGAAGATCCATATATCCAGTCCGGGAGCTATTGTGTTGCAGCTTCAGCCTGTGACTAGGAGTCTGTGGGTACCTGGATCTAACGGGGTGCTGATTGCCCTAGAGGGGAGAGACTCTGGCTGTGCCTGTAGCTGAGGGGGACTACACAAAAACCAGCACACAGGAGGAGGCTGTAAGTAAATGGGCTCTTTGGGAAATTGGTGCCTGGGCCAGACCTCAGAGATATAGACTAACTCTGGGTCCAAAGAGAGGCACAGTGAACCAGGGCTGCTGGCATTTGGTGGAGCCTGCTCCAGTGGCAGAGGGATTTTGCAGCTGGCTGGTCAGCTTGGACTAACACACACAGCGCTACCTCCACTCCAGCTGCAGATCTTCAAGTGCACCTGTGCAAGTGTCTGGGACTCTGAGTCCAGAGTAGTGCACGCTCTGGGATGGGATAAATGGTGGCAGTGCAAATGCCAGATAGATACATTCCTATTATTTGCGTGTACTTTGTTAATTTTATTCACAGTTAATCTGTAAAAACCTTGTTTCTTTAAGTTGTTAAGTAAAGGTGTGTTAAGTCTAATGTAATCAGTTAGATGTATATTATTTATAATTGTTGTCCTGGAGTTAGATCCAGATTATTGCTGGAATAATTTTATTCCTGGAGGCTTCCAAGGCACACCATTAAATGTGTAGAGGGCCAGCCAGGTGGAGGCACTGCCGTTGTATATTCTTTATGAGCCAGGGGGTGGACAGAGAATTCCCAGTTAGACAGCATCACCACTGCGATACCCAGGCCCACCTGTGTGTGTGAGACCTACTCCTGAGTAACCCAGGGAGGAAAAAGAGAGTTACACAGCCTTAAAAAATAATAAAGGCTGTGTCTACACTGGGCCACTTATTCCGGAAAATCAGCCGCTTTTCCGGAATAAGCTGCGAGCTGTCTACACTGGCCCTTGAATTTCCGGAAAAGCAATGATGCTCTACTGTACAAAATCATCCGCTATTCCGGAAAAACTATTCTGCTCCCGCTCGGGCATAAGTCCTTATTCCGGAACACTGTTCCGGAAAAGGGCCAGTGTAGACAGCCCAGTAGTCTTTTCTGGAAAAGAGCGTCTACATTGGCCACAGACGCTTTTCCGGAAAAAGGGCTTTTCCGGAAAAGCAGCCTGCCAATGTAGACGCTCCTTTTCCGGAAAAACTGAAAACGGAATAGTATTCCGTTTTAAGCAGTTCCGGAAATTCACGCCAGTGTAGACACAGCCAAATAGTTTAGTAGCGTCTTAAAGACTAGCAAAACATGTAGATGGTATCATGAGCTTTCGTGGGCACAACCCGCTTGAATGCCTGCAGGAAGCTGGATGTGACTCATTAGGG